TGTGTGTGTGTGCGCGCGCGCGCGCGCGCGCGCGCGCGCGCGCGCGCCCCATGGGGAGCAGGAAACTATAGAATAAGACAAAAGTAAAAAAGGCTGAAAGAGGGGAGTTCCATCACCTTAACTGAGCTCCCAGGCACCTGAATCCCAGCCTCTTTGCTCCAAATTCTTTCCCTTAGTCCTGGTCCCTCCCAGTGCCTCAGTGCCACCATCTATAAAATGGGCAGAGAGTTCCAGCCTCCTAGCTTCCTCCCTAGGTCCCGATCAGTACAGCCTGGTACCCGCCCTTCCCCCAACCTTGTCTGAGTGTCCTTCCAAAGCCTCATTCAGCAGATCTTTATCGATTTTCTCCTCCTCCTTGCTAGACAGGGTGCTGGGGTGCTAGACACTGCTGGGGTGGGAGGGGGCTTCCCCGTCTGGTAGGGGAGGCAGACCTGTAAACAAACACGACCACAAGGCAGAATGTGATAGGGCTAGGAAAGCAAGGTGGACCTTTCTCATCCCTGGGTGACAGCCAGGTCACACTGACCTGGCTGCTAGAGGACTACTGTCCACCCCTGGCCGCCCACGTCCCAGATGTCCCCCCAGTGCCCCTGCCCCGCCCCAACAGGGCCCAAAGCATTCCCTGCATGAATCAACAGGAAAGAATGCTCCCAGCTTTGGGTCAGTGGCAGCAGCAGCCCAGCCCCACCCCTGGGGACAATGAGGCAGCTGTGGGCTGGGGTGCCAGGTATGCCTCAGCCCCCTCCTCATGCCCAGCCACCTCTCATGCTGAGCCAGGAACAACATAGAGGGATCGGAAAACGTGGGCTCCACCTGCTGTCAATCACCCGCCCAGGCCTGGCTGCCCAGAACTAAAAATACCCTGGAGGCCCCGCGGCTGGCCCGGGCTAGAGCCCAGGGAGTGAATGGATGTGTTGCCCGGAAGTCCGTTGACCTACAAGATTCTGGGCAGAAGCTGAGGCTAGGGAGCAGTAAAAGGAGGAAACTTCCAAGGGGGTTCACTGTGAGGCTCTCTTATTGACAAGTAACGGGCTTGGTCCCAGGCCCAACCCTACGGCTTGCTGGTGGTGGGATTTTCACAGCTGAGTGGCTATCTCCTCTCCCTTAAATTCGATTGCTGTGGGGGTCAAATGGGACAATTCAGTTCATCTCAATAAACTTTGACTTGATGGAGACTGCCTGCTTCCTCCTTCGTGCCTGACTGTACTCACAGCCTCAGCCAGAGCCAAGAACCTCTTGATATACAGGTCTGTGTCTGCCTCAACTCTGGGGGCCCTGGAATTTCTTATATATCTCTAAACCTAGATTCTGTCACATGGCTCAGTGCATAGCAAGCACTCACTATATGCTGGCAGATTGAGTAAGTGGGCCTGCCTCGTGCTGGTCCTTGAGCTAGACCGGGCAGTGTGTGTGTGGGCACAAACAAGCAGATATGATCCCTGCCCTCAGGGAATTTGCAGGGGGGGCGGGGTGGGGAGACAATCAACCAACAGATGAGGCATTGTCATCATCAGAACAACTAATAGGTGCAGAGCAGTTACTCTATCATCTCACTGAATCCTCTTAAAATCCCTATGGACACTTTCATCGCCCTCCTTTACAGATGATGAAACTGGGCACAGAGAGGTTAAGTGATTTGGCCAGAACCACACAGTCCTTATCTGCAGAGGGTAGCAAGTGGTAGATTGTAGCAGACATACAGTTAGCTCTGTGCCCTGGGTACCAAGTGGGGAAGTTTGAGGATTGAAGGCTTCATGGAAGAAGTGCCTTGGCTGATTGTGGGTCTGTCTCTATCACTCTGCAAATTCACTAAGTAGAGAGGTAGGAAAGTGGGATAGTCATGAGTAAAGCTTTGGAAGCCATGGAGCACGGGATGTCAGAAGTTACCCCATCTGCCCTCCCCCAAGCCCCCAGGGCCCAGGGCATAAGCATCACCATCTGCCCGCCCCTCCCAGGGTGAGGAGCTGAGAGGCTGAACAGTAGCTAAGAGGAGTCTCTTCCCCACGGAATATTCCTCAAACCCACCCAAATAAGGGCCTGTGCTTTCCTGCCAGATGGGAAGGCCAAAATCTCTTGCAGAGAGCTGTGACCTGGGATGTTCCCAGCAGCCTGGGGGGAACCTGACAAGTGTACCCAGGGCCATGGCTGCTGGACAAGCTTTCCTCCTCGGTGGCCCTCGAGACTCGGTCTGGCCCCACCTCCTTTGACACTCAGTATGGCAGAAACTGTACAGTTTGGGAATGGCGGGACCTGAATTCTTGTTCTGACTGTCTGCACTGTGCGGCCTCAGGCAAGTCCTTTCGCCCAGTCCAGGGTACAGCCTTCTGCATCCATTTGTGCTGCCTTTGTACCCTGGCCCTCTGACATCCAAGGGCCAAACTGCCCTCCTCTCTTCCTGCATCTTGGCTGTCCCTGACTTCAGTGACTCCTGAGCAGACTGATCTTGTCGTGCCTTAGCTCAAGAATCCTCAGTGGCTCACTGTTGCCCACAGGATATGGAGAATCCACTTTTCTTCCTCCTTTTCCCTTTCCTCCTTTCCCCTTTTGACTTCATTTTTTTATATTCTACCTGTCTTTAGGCCTCGCTGTATCCCAGCTCCTCTACTAATTTGCCTATGAAAGTTTACATGAATGCTCTCCAAGTATCAGGTGCTGGGGGAGTCTTAGAGCTGAAGCAGATACAGTCTGTGCCCTCGGTCGTGCACTAACCTGGTGGGAGCTGACTCACAGACATGGTGATGATGGACAGTAGACTGGGATGCAGAAGGCAGGGCACATGGAAAGGCACTGACCATTTCGACACAGGACAGACTTTTCCTTTGCTGAGGGCTGTTTAACCAGGTGCAGGGCTTTTGTTCCAAGGGAAGAGGTGAGAGCTGAGATTTTGAGAAGCTTGGGGGTGGGGAAGTGAGGAGGTGGATCTAGCAGGGGTGGGCTGCCAAGAGAGAGGCTGGCCTGGGAGATGGTTCCTGGGGAGAGAGAGTGATGAGCTGGCTGCTATGGGGAGAGGAAATTTGGAGGAAGACAGAGCTGATTAAAGAGATATTTTATGAAGTTTTGCTTTGTGATATGCAATGTCACCTTCCCCCACACTGTTCCTCTGAAAGCTTCAGAAAAACTGTTACTACTTGATAACATTTGGAGTTGGGCAGGCCCACCTCAGCATTTGCAGGGCCTGGGCATGAGTAAAAGGGGGCCTCCTATCACATGTCTCGGAGTTAAAAATCAAACTAACTCCTTATTAAATAAAAAATGGTCTATCTTCCTGCTTTGACAAATAACACTTTTGGAAAGATCTTGAATCCAGATCTTTCTACCCCCTAGACTTTGGTGTGGAACATATTATTATGGGGAGCATCTACCCCTGTCCCTGAGCCCCGATGTGGCCCACCCCCTTCCTCTCCCACCTCTGCT